CTGGTTTTCGGCTCCATTCCTCGCAGGGCCAGGCTTGAGGGACCCCATTGGTGCATGAATCCATGCACTGGGCCTCTAGTATGTGTGTGTGTGTGTGTGTGTGTGTGTGTGTGTGTGTGTGTGTATTTTTTAAGAAATAATACAGAGATATACCAGTTATCCAGTTTCCCCTAACGGTAACACATACAAAACTGTAGTACAACGTCATAGCCATGATATCAACATTGCTACATCCACTGAGTTTATCAGATTTCCTAATTTTACTGGTACTCGTGTGTAATGTGTGTGTTTAGCTCTGTACAATTCTATCACATGTGTAAGACGTGCTGAGATACAGAGCTAGTCCATCACCACAGAATCCTTCTATTGTCTTCTAATCACACCTCCCTTCCCTCTCCCATCTCTAATCTCTGGCAACCACTAATCTGTCATCTGTTTCTGTAACTTGTCACTCCAAGAATGCTATCTCAGGGGAGTCCTACGGTGCGTAGCCTTCTGGGGCTTTTTCACTCACTGTAATTCCCTGAGGTTCAACCAAGTGGTTGAGTGTGTCAATAGTCTGTCCCTTCTCGTTGCTCTGCCTGTGGTTTAATCATTAAGCAATACTGCGTTCTAACATGGCACCAAGAACACGATCCTCAAAGGCCTTTTATTCCAAGAGATAAGATATGTCCTATTTGGTGTTTCTGGGTGGGACAAAAGCACAAAACAAGCACGGTGCAAGTTTTCCTAGGTGCACACAAGCTCACCTCGCTTCGTTCATTTCTCTCCTAAAACGGTGGCTGGTTGGGTGGTAATTCCCTTTAGTATTGGCTGACAGTTCCTTCTGCCTCCTTCCCTCCCAGGAGCACATCTACAAGCTGATGAAGAGTGACAGCTATGCCCGCTTCCTCCGGTCAAATGCTTACCAGGACTTGCTGCTGGCCAAGAAGAAGGTATCTTTGGAAAGGGCAGGCTTGCCTTTCTTAGCACTATTGATCTTTGCCTGCTGCTTGCTGCTGGTGTGAAATGAGAATATCATCCCTTGGGTTTTATTTACCTTTTCTTTTCTTCTTTCCCTTCTCTATCTGCTCCCGCTCCAATGGAAGACAGTTAGGATTGTCACCACCCCCAGGCCCATGGTGTGGCATCCTGTCTCCATGTGCTCATTACCTCCTCCTGCGTGCGTGCCCACAGCCGGGAGTGTGACCACAGTGGCTCAGGACAGGAGTACCGGGCCGGCAGGACACCAGTGAACCCCTTAGGGAATCAGAGAGAGCCCCTCACTAGGAAGTCCAGCCCTCGCCCCACAGGTGTCTCTCCCTCACCAGCTCAGCGACAGAGAGAAAACCTTGTAGGTTTCCAAGGGGCCATCTGGCACCTGAAGTCGTTGCTGGGATTCTTCCCTCCTTGACACCCGCTTCCTCTCCCTCATCCGCCCACAGTGTTTGTGTTTTCTCTTAACCAAGAAGTAGCCATATCCTAGCTCCTTCTCCCTCCTCCACTGAGAATTGTGGTATGGTTCCCGGCAGCCCTTAGCACCTGGATTTGGGGACCCAGGGACCTTCAGCGTGCAGGTGGTGAGGGGTGACCGAAGCAGGGATGAAGTCATCTGGGTTCCTGGGAGGAGGGAAGGAAGAGTCGAGAGGGGCCTGGGGTCTGAGAAGGGGGAGGCTGAAAAAGCGGTTCATGATTCCTGCAAATCCTCTGCACTTTCCAGCTCTGATCTAGGCCCGCGTGTGGCTCGGTGTGGCTCTCCTTGCACCCAATTCCACGCCTTCCATGCCATGCGCCTTAAGGAATATAAGCATCGTCATCCTTTCTTCTCCGCTCCCAGCCTTCCGACCCCAGGCCCTCAGCACGTGGTGTCCATCGCCACACTCTGTGGGCTGCCTCTGGGTCACGTAGCCTTTCTCCCTCCGTGTTCTGTCCACCTCCTGTGCCAGGGTCCTGTCTGCATATCTGGTTGGTACCACATAACTCCAGTCTCCACGAGCATATGCATTCTGCTCTCCTGCCCTTAGGCGGCCCTGAGGACACCCCTGAGAGTCAGGGGAACAGTAAGGGACCCTGGAATAGCCAGATTGTCAGAAACCCAGCTTCTCGGTGGCCTCACCCTCATCAGCAGGGGCCTCTCAGGTGTCACTCCTGTGGTGGAGAATGTGAATCTTGGCCTCTTGCCGGTTCCCTGCAAGAGGCGGGAGGAGGGGCTGATGCTCCGACAAAGGTCTGATGCCCATTTTTTTCAAGGAAGGTTATGGAGACTTTGGGTGTCTCCAGCCCAGATCTCACGGGAGAAGGTCCAAGTAAGTGTTTTCTTGTTTCTGTGGCTCCAGACCCAGGACTGATCACAATTTGGGGAAATCCCGAGGCTCTGCGGGCTGAGCTGCCTGGGCCTATCCATACACCCAGCAGCAGCCAGAGGCCGTTCAGTCTCCTGTGGGTCTGAGCACAAAGAGAAAACGCAGCCCAGCTCTGGGCGGGGCTGGCATGCCTGTGCCTGCAGATCCTCCCATAGAGGAGACTTCACAGAGGAGGAACCCAGGGCCTCCCTGTGAAATGTTGCCAATGAAATTCATTGTGAGTATCCGCCCAACCCCCAAATGAAGGGCCATTCTTGTGACAGAAAGCCCTCCCAGATGCTGACACCCTTTCAATAGCCAGGGGTTAATTGTTTCCAAAAACAGTGACAAAACTTGCCTTTCCCTCCAACTTCTCCTGAGAGTCTCCAGGCGTGGACTGGATTTGTGTCTCGGCACTTCCAGGTAGGCCTAGAATCTTCGGATTTCAGGGATGGGCTTATAACTGTCCCGGTCATAAAAGGTGTGTGAGAGTCACACTTCCTGCTAAGAGAGGGGCTATGAATGGGCCTCACTTTTCTGCTGAGAAAGGTCTGGAGACACAGCCTCTGGTCCTTCATCCCTGGCTCACCTTCTGTGCTAAGTTTGGAAGATAAGGTTAGTCACTTTGATGTACCAAGTTCCCAAGGGGCGAGTGAGCTGGGTTTTGACGGTTCCTCCTAGACAATTAAGTACCAGGATCCTGGGAAGGGAGAGGCCGTGCGAGGCAGAGGAACCCGACTGAGCCCACCAAGGGCTCCCCTCTGCCAGCAGCAACTCGGTTGCCAGAGCCCAGGGATGACAGGCACAGGTCACTGGCTGCAGGGCCTGGACCGGCCTGACTCGGCCAACTGTATGCCCTGGGGCCGCCCATTGTATTGAAGCTGAGTTCTGCCGTCCCTAGAGTGGACACTTGGTGTGGTACTCAGGGCCAAGCGGGGAAACTTCGGTCCCTTTGCCAGGAGAGAGACCAGCCTGGCTCTGAGTGCTGGGTCCTTATGTCGTGTTTTCCTTCTACAACGCCCTGTCTGTCTTTGGACAGGGGCATGACTGCCATGGGAGCCCGCTGACCTGTCCACATGGGCCGGTGGCTGCTCTTGGCCAGCCCCCTCTGCGCGCGGCACATGCTGCAACCCACAGACCCGAGGCTGCTTCTTCAGCTCCCTCATTCCCATTATTTGCTCCGTGTAATTGTGTGTGTGTGTGTGTGTGTGTGTGTGTGTGTCCATGTGAGTGGGTATTCTCTCCAGATTTCCCAGTCTTGAGCTCTAGGCCCTGGGACAGGGCTCTAGGATAAACTAGTAGGTCTCTGGGGTATAATTCTCTCCCCAAACTCCTTGAACAAGCAGAAAACCTGGGGAGTCAGTTGCACACCACACCTGTCCCCTCCTCTGCTAGTAGTGAGCGCCCGGCCCTAGGGCGTGCCCATGGGCTTTGCCTCTTCTTGCCCCAGTTGGGGGCCCCTCAGCTAAGAGTTCCCTAGAAAAGTCCTGCCCCTCCTGCAGCCAGCTGTGAGTAAACCTCGGGAGGGGTCACCTGCCTGGGTACTGAGAGCATTTTCTTTCCAGAACCTTCCTCTGAAGTCCAAGTCCCTTTGCAAAGGACATGGGTAGACCCTCCTTACTCTAAGGACCCAGAATCAGAGCCATTGGGGGGCCATGAAGGAGTCACTGAAGGTAGCAAACTTTCTAGCTGCATCTGGGCAGGAAAGCCTCAGAGAAAAGTCATAACCCAGACCCTCAGCCACTTCTTGACGTCCCATCAGCACACCCTGAGGGCCCTGAGAGCTAATCTGTTCTTGTCTCCCCTCTCCCTCCCCATGGCTGCCTGTGGGCCTAGGGACACACCACCCAGGGCTCCCTCCCCATGGCTGCCTGTGGGCCTAGGGACACACCACCCAGGGCTCCTGTACATGAGCAGTGCCAATGGAAAGCAGTGAACAGACAGCCCCAACTGCTGCCTGCTTAATGAGCCCTGGAGGTGCACACACCCTCCCCTCACTGCTCCAAGGAGCAGCATTTCCTGGGGCTTCTGTTTCCTGTCTGCCCCACTGACCTTCGCATACAGCGCTGGCTGCTTCTCTCTTCCCATTTCTGCGCCCTGTTTTGCTTTTCTGTCCATTTGCTGCCGCTGTGCTGTTTGGAAACCACGTGTAAGCTGAAGATTTTTTTCCCCTGTATTTTTCTCCCTACCTTTTTTTGTTTGTTTTTCCTAAAGCCAGAAAGTGAGCAAGGTCGTAGAACTTCCTTAGAAAAGTTCACTCGCAGTGTGGTAAGTTCAGCTGGTTTTGTTCCCTCACGTGCCTTTGGTTTTCTCAGTTCTTTTATGTTGTCCTTCCCCCTGGGGTGGGAGGGAGTCCAGTGCTTTCCCCCTCAACACATCCCTTTTCTTTTGCAAGTGTCTGCAGCTTCACTTCTAGGGATGGATTTGCAAAAGACCAAGCGGCTCCCTCTGCAGAAGGTGCACACCCGACCGCCAGCCTCGAGCTTCGCATTTGACCTTCCGTGCAGGGCTCCGAGGAGAGAGGACCCGCCCGCCGCCCTGGGGGCTGCGCGGTTTGTGCATCTTCTGCAGCAGCCCAGGCCATCGAACTGTCTCACGAAATAAATTGGCTCGGAACCATAGCTCATCTATAAAAAACATTCCAAATTTCCCTCTGTGAACGCCGGCCGGCCCGTGGGAGCGGGCCGCGAGCTGCTGCTGCTGCTGTGTAGGCGGCTTTCGCGTGCGCAGGAGGTGGCCGTGCTGCATGGGTTCTGGCGATGTGGTCTAGCTGGCGTGTGTTAGTGGCCTCTGCATGACTTACCGTCCTTGTCAGCCTCATGTGCACAGTGTGACAGGGAGAAGAGGGCAGGTGGCCCTGGGGAGGAGGGGGAAGCAGGTCCCTGTTCTGTCCCTGCACTCCCAGGGGCAAGGTCTTGAGGGAGTCACGATGGGCTGTGGGTTCACCGGCCTGTAGGGAAGTGGCCTTACGGGTTCACCGGCCCTGTAGGGAAGTGGCCTTACCCCATGCGCACTGAGTTTAGATGAGATAGAGATTGGTGTGGGGGCACATTGAATAGTCTTCCCATGGTGCACAGCGGAGATTCGGTTCTACGGTCTATAGGACAGCACAGACCCATCTCTCCTTTCCATGCCGTTCTCTGTAAGATTTGGGCATAGGGCTTGGTGCACAGAATTCAATCCCACTCATTCACTTCCTTGTCATTCACTTACAAGCTGCTGAGTGCCTGGGCCCAGCCTGCGCTGGGAATATCAAACCAGAGGAAACCAGCGTGGCAGCGGGAGCAGGGATCCCACAAATGGAACTGGCCTCTCTTCTCTTCCCAAGGGTAGAACCCTCTGATGCCCACTTGCCTTTCCCCCCTCTGTTGAAGAGAGAAGTCCTTGTAAAACCTGACTACTGCGTGATTAGCATCTTTATTTCATCCTTTTAGCATAAAATCTAAGAATTCTGGGTTGAAAGCAACCTAGTTGTTTACCTAGGTCAGTGATGGCGAACCTATGACACGCGTGTCAGAGGTGACACGCGAATTCATTTTTTTGGTTGATTTTTCTTTGTTAAATGGCATTTAAAGATATAAAATAAATATCAAAAATATAAGTCTTTGTGTTACTATGGTTGCAAATATCAAAAAATTTCTATATGTGACACGGCACCAGAGTTAAGTTAGGGTTTTTCAAAATGCTGACACGCTGAGCTCAAAAGGTTCGCCATCACTGACCTAGTTGAAACTTGATGCACTTTAGCTGAATTTAAACGTTATTTTGAATTTGCTAGATGTAACTATCATAGTGGCCCTAGTAGATGGCACTTAAAATATGGGTGCTCATCTTTTCTCTTCTTTGGTCTCCCTCTCTATGGTCTTTCCTCCTGAAAAATCAGAACTTACAGAATGTGAGGCCAGCTGGTCCCCTGTCTGTCTTCATGGCTGGCTTGCCACGGCCATGTGATTTCACACCCCAAGGCCCCAGCCAGTTTGGCTCAGTGGATAGAGTATCCGTCTGCGGACCAAAGGGTCCTGAGTTGGATTCCAGTCAAGGATGTGTACCTTGGTTGCAGGCTTCTCCCCAGCCCGGGCCCTGGTCAGGGCTCATGCAGGAGGCAACCAATCGATGTATTTCTCTCACATCGATATTTCTCTTTGTCTTTCCCTCTCTCTTCCACTCTCCCTTAAAATCAATGGAAAAATATCCTCGGGTGAGGATTAACAGGGGGGAAAAAAAAGGTTCCACAGGCTGTCTAAGGCGAGGCCTGATAGAGAGCGGTAGGGACCTATTCCTCTCCATCTCTTTTGAGGCCAGGATGTGTGAGCAGAGGATACTTAGGGATTTTGTGGACAGGCCCTGAGTGTACTAGAAGGCAACTTGGTCTGTCAGTGGAGACTGGGAAGGCAGAACCCCCAGAGCCCCATGGAGGCCCTCCAGGTTGGCCGCAGGAGCCACGGGTGTGAGAGAGGAAGACCGGTATTAAGATGAGACATCCAAAGATCTCCAGGCTGCTTTGCATGAGAAGTGGGTAACAGGAAAGGTGAGAATGATCTTGCTGACGCTCTGGGAAGAGCATTTATCGATGTCCCTTCTTCCCAGAAGTGGTGTTGGTTCAGTGGTCCTCCAAGGTCTGTTAACGAAGCGTTTGGAATGAGAAAGCACCAGACACCTTCCCAGCGTCTGGAGTGTGCACAGGGGAGATTTTGCAGAGGTGTTTTCAGGGCCGACTGAAGGAGAAGAATTCCCAAGCTCTTGAAATTTTTAGCATCTATATGATAAAAGGCCCAAACTTAAAAAAAAATTCCTAAATTTCCTGCTGTTCTTTTATGAAGACTTTAGTGGGTGGTGCGTCCTTGTGTTTTGGTTCCATTGGTGGAAATGGAGATGGATTTGCACTGATCCATCCATGCTCCTTGTGCTCTTGGGATGACACCTCATCCCTATGAGAGGCGGCTGAGTTTGAGGGAACAGCCCATGGCCATAGAACAATGGCAACTCTCAGGGTATTTGAGGCTGGATCCCAAGAACTTGGTCTCAACAACCCAGGGTTCTAATCAGCCAATATGCCTGTGCTTGATTTCTATAAAAGGAGGTCACCCTGATTATTTCATCTGCTATATACTGTGCAGTATAAAACTCAACGAAAGGCTAGTTCAATAGCATTGTCATGGTGCTGGGAAAGATGTGTGGAAAGACCATCCATGTCCTGGGGCTAATAATGGGAAAATGAAGGCGTGAAGCTGGGCAGCTCAGGGATCAAGAATATGAGATCAGCTTCTATTGAGGACTAATTGGTAGCAAGAAATGTTGATCTTGGTGGTTGGTTAGCTCCGTCAACTAGCTTCTTATCAAGACTGAATCTGAATCCAAATTTCTCCCATGCAAATGTCCTTTCTTTTCTTGGAAAAGGAGGGACAGTTGGAGAAAGCACATTGTTCTTTCCAAGTCTCAGGTGTATCATGAACAGAGGGATTACCTGTCGAAGGTGACAGACGCCCCCTTTGACATGAGATCCTGGATGGTTGTCTAATGCAGTTCATGGGTGCTGCGAGGGCCATGCTCCTTGTGTGCAGAAGGGTCCTTGCATCCCCCAAAAGAGGCGGTTATGTGTGAGCTTCTCTTTCCAATAGAAGTTTCCTTCTGAGTCGCCCAGACCTTGAATACACAAACCAAATGTCTGAGGACAGGCTGGGCCAAGCATTGTGTGGTTTTGGTGACTGGAACCACCAAGCCTGTGCAAAGCCCTGCTTACTTGACAGGGAGGGCCCAGGTTCAGAACCGAACATAACTGAAAGTCATGGCATGGCGCAACTAGCCCATATTGCAGCTTTGTCAGAAACAGAAACAGGACTCCCTCTCATGGGCCCGGCCCCACAGATGCACAGCTGGCTAAGCAAAGCCCAGGCTGGGTTTCAGTTCCCATGGACCCTCAGCTGCCCTTGTGCAGTGAATGGCTCACACCATGGCGGTCCTGGTCCGAGGAGCCCCAATCTCAGGAACGCAAGGCAGCTTCTCAAAGGCAGCCCCAGACATGGCCTCCCGTCAAATGAATGGAGCCTGTCTCTCCCTGGCCCTGTCCTTGGGGAGCTTCCTTTCACAGTGACTATAAAATATGAGAGCCACGGTAGGAAACATCTGCCCACCACTGTGGTCACCTTGGCATCACCAGCCATCTCCTTTCGGGTTATTTGGTGGGAAGCCCCAGGCATTACCGATGGGGAGAGGAGGAAGGTTCTCAAACTAAGACCACTTCCTGCCACTCAGCGCCAACCAGCCTGCCATTCCCTGCTGCCTTCCTGATTTTGCGGTTGACAGATGTGAGGGTGACCAGAGCCGCAGGGCTCACCCTCCCCGTTCCCTCTTAGGCATGCTCATTACTTCGGGGTCTACCACAGAGTGGGGACAGCCTCCCAGGGGCTGACTCAGACATAGAGGACCCGGGGGACGCATGGGAGGAGGCAAGAGGATCAAAGGGCCCTTAGCCAAGACTCAACAGTAGTGATTAGATTGTCTCTTTGGGGGATGGTGGCCACAGTCATCAGCCTGGGGAGAAGCTAGAGAAAGTCCCTGCTCCTTGGGTGCAGTTCCTCAGAGTGATGGCACTTCAATTGGGAGACATGGCAGCTCCAAGTGACGCTGGCTTTAGCCTCCCTGACACCTTGGCCTGGGAACTCAGTCGAATCCTCAGCTGCCCTCTTGAGAGCCTCATCAGCTTCAACCTTGGGCTCCAAAGATGGGGTGTGGGGCCACACAGGAGGCCACAGAGGAGAGTGGAGATGAGGACCAGGACCAGGTCACCCCTTCCTAAGAGACCATCACAGTTGGGCTTCGTGGAGGTGCTCCTTGGACTTGAAACAGCAAGGGCGGGGGGCTGAGGGAGCCTTGGCATGTGCCCAGTGGCATCTCTGCAACAGGCATCTCTGTCCTGCCTGCCAAGGAATGCAGCAGGAAAGTCAGATGGAGATCAGGAAGCTCTGGGAGCCAACTGTCACCCACCCTCCCCCTCCCCCTCCCCACCTGCCCTTTCCTCCCTCCCCAGCTAAAGCCAAGGAAAAGCTAATGAGAACTAAAAAGCCGGCAGCTCATCCCCTCCCCCACCCCTCCCAGTAGCTCTGCAGGAAGAAACCCCTGCTCCTGGCCGAGGTGCTGAGCCAGAAATGGATGACCGAGGCCCCTGGCAGGCAAGGCAGAGGGCAGATGCCCGGGGTGTTCAGCCAACCTGGCATCAGCAGCTCCCTCCCAGAGGGAGGAGGTTGCTTTCCCCTCCCCCTCAGCCAGTGGTGGGGACAGCATGCACTCGGGTGGAATGAGTTTGCAAATCTAGACCCAGCAGAGCCTCCAGAGGGCTTCGACCGCAGTTTTCCAGCCTTCGGCAAGGGACAACTGGCTAAAATTCTTTACACGGGGTTGGTTTTGATTGCAAACAGTCCTTGGGCCCCTTGGGAACCACTGGGTCACAGACTCAATGGCCAGCATCTCCCATATCAGAGACCTGAGATCCAGCGGTAGTGAAACCCCACCTGCCTCCCGATGGAGGTGGCCTTCCATAGCAGTATTTGGGAGGGATTGCATGAAAATCTTCCTCTTTGGGACAGCGAGGGCTTCTGGCACTCTGTGAAACT